GGACGCCCGGGAGCGCCCGGGGACCGGGCTGTGCGCAGGGACGGGGAGCACCAGCGGGCGATGGGCCCGACGGCTGGGAAGCCCCGGGCGGGGCGGGGAGCCCCAGGAGCCAGGGGGCCCGGGCTGCCCAGGAGCTCTGAGGGCGAGGGAACCCTGGCAGCCTGGGGGCACCAGTGGACAGGGCGCAGCCAAGTCCCTGCAGCAGCTCTGCGATGGGCGTACGGTATGGCAGGGGCTGGGTCAGTGCTGAGATGCATGTGGGCTGGGGCTGTGGGAACCGGCTGATGCGTGGGGAAATTTTATCAGAGCTTCCTTTGTGGGGGAAGTGTTTTCAAAGACAGGACAGCCTGCAGGAAGCCCTGGTGTGGCACAGAAATGGGATGCACAGGGATGCAGTGGAGCTTGCCTGCATGCTCGTGAGAGGATGGTCGCCACCGCTGGTCACTGCTCAGGGCTGATAACGGAGGGAAACGAGGCTGGGTTGGAAGTGAGCAATAGGGTGCTGGTCCTGAAGGGCCAGGTGGGAGGTGGTAGGAGGGCCAGGAGGCATGGAGACGACTGTAGGTAGTGGGAGACGAAGCAGAGGTTGAGAGTGAGTTGTTAGCCTGAGGCTGCACTGCAGGCAGGCCTGGGCTGTGTCTGGTTCTGAGGGCAGATAATCTGAAACTCTTGAGAGAGAGATCTGTGTAAATGTGGAAGAGAAAAGCATGTTCCAGGTCAGTGACTGGTGCTCAGCAAAGATTAAACGGGCTTCTGAATCCTTCCTCATCTGGACTGGAGTCTCAAAAACATCATAACATGAGTCATGGCCTCTCATGTGAGACTTTGGGTATGGCATCGGCAGCATCTGCAGCTTTGATGGAGCTTTTGCACAGCAAGCACTCTGACATCTGTTTGTGGCATGCACAGTGGGTGCCGTCTTTGCAGCTTCTCTGCTGGGGCTGGTGTGGGCCAGCTTCCCCTTCCTCACGGCTGACATGAGATGCGAGGTGCCACTGGCAGGCAGGCAGGGATGCACGCAGTGGTCCCTCTGTAAGTCCACATCTTTTCTTTCTAAATGTGACTTATCTGCTAAGCGTAGGCTGGGCTCTCCTAGTGCCCTGGCCTATCAGCCCTAGGCTTGGAGATGCTTATGTATATTGCAGCTCTCTCCATTTTAGATGCCCTTCCTGTCAACCTCATTACTGTGGCTCTGGACCCCAAACGCCTCTCTGGACAGATTCTCATGCTAGCAGTTTTCTTCAGAGGCTTCTGCTGCCATTTTTTACTAGGGAACTCAGTGCCCGGTGGTGGGAGGGACAGAGAAGGAGCAGGGCAGTCTGGCTCACATTACACAGGCTGGGCCTGGACCAGTCAAGCCAGCCCCCAGCGCGGAGCTATCTGCTAATTGGAAGCAGCTGTTCAGATTTGGTGACTCGGCATCCACTGAGGTCACTGCTGTCTTCCTCTATGACCCAAGCCTGCAAACTTCATAGGAACAGAGGGCTGCTAGTACCATGGATGGCTGCCTGCCCATCCTGGACTGGTGCAGTCTGGCAACCTGGCAGTTGCATCTCTTACCCAAGAGGTAGTTAGGCTCTGAAACCACCCACTTATATCCAGGGAGGAAGGAAAGGGACAAGTTTACACAGACTTTCATCACCAGTTCCCTACCCCAAGGACCCTAATTTCTGTTCCCTGGTTGCCCCAGTGCTCTCAGCTGCTCTTCACGCTCCCCAGATTTGCTTTTCAAGCTTCTTTCTTCCCCGCCAGCAGCCCACAAAGCCTTGCTGCACTCCCTTCTGCTTCTCAAGAGCCACATCGCTAATCAAACCAGGTGGTTTTTTTCAATGTATCTGTGCCCTGATCTGTTCTGGGCACTGCCCAAGACCTTTCAGCTTCATCCTGTCCTCAGCCACTGAGATTACCCTAGGGAGCCTTGTCCCTCTACCTGTTTTTCTACTCCTTTTTGTTTAGTTTTTGTCTAACCTCCTGCCAAGGCTTTAAACCCTCTGCCCTGTACCTTCCCATGGCCTGAGCAGCTGGGTCACAGTTAGGATGGTGCAATTTCATCACAGAAGCAAACGTGGACCCCATTCCCCCAGCACTGCATGTTCTGGATGTATGCAGTTACCCCTCCAGCTGGGGAAATTTAACTGGCGCCAGCAGAGAGAGAGAGACCTGTCTAAGACCACTGAGGCAGTGCAGATCCCCAGCTAGCAGCCCACAGGGATAAAAGTAACTTCTTTTGACTTCTGCTCCTGAGAGAGAATGAGGATTCATACTTGCTAGGTGCAAGAAGAGGGTGTGGGTTTACCTGCCGTAGACCTCAGACACTGGATGCCCACTGAAGTAAACAAACACTTCTTTATATGTAGAAAACACTTTTTAATATTTTTCTTTCTGTCACTAATCCAGGATTTCCACAGGGAAAACCAATCTAAACAGCGGACCCGAGGTGGGAAAGAGGACCCAGGAATAATCATCCTACGTCCCCTGGAAAGGGTTAACACTGCTGTAGGGTTCTTTAGATCAAAGGCTGACATTCTTAGTCCCCAAACTAGGCAATGTCAGCCACCTCCATCCCCCAAGACAGGGAGGTTCCTGCCGTCCTTCGTCTGACATGAGCGGCTCCTGAGTGTGGTTATGGGACCAGCAGCAAATGCTTTCAAGAGAGTCCAAGTGTGAGCTCATGCTGCCGCCATCCCTGCAGACCACTAAGCCTCGTTTACCGGGGGCTGAAAGCAGCACTGGGGCTGGTGTTCTTCACAAGCTCCTTGACTGCTGAGTTTCTCTGGCTATTCACAGGGAGGCTGGGCAGAGCCCTGGGGGGGCTGACAGCCTTTGGGCACTGGGAGCGTGTCCAGCGTGTCCAGTAGTGGTGTTGCTGCAGGGAGCTGCTCCTCCCTGCTCGTCCCTCCCCCACTGCTGCAGTGAAATGAAGCTACGGCAGGGGGAAATGGAGTGAAGGAGCCAGAATGAGCAAGGAGCAGTGAGAAGGAGACAAAGGAGGAGAGTGAGCAGTGGAGGGTGTGGGACCGGGAAGGAGCCAGAGCAGCTGGCAGTTCAGAGGGAGTTGCTGCGTTCCTACTGTACTGCCACCACCCTCCATGGTACCAGCTCGGGGCATCCACAGATCCCTGCGCCAGGCCAAACAATGGGCCCTGTCTGACTTTGTCCTGGGCATTCCCAGCTATGGGTACATCCTTTGCAATACAGCCATTCTGATTTATTGTTCACTGGATGTAAGCCCGTTCCAGTTCTGCTGCTCCCTCCCAGGGACACCAGATTTGCACTTCATGGTTTTATTGGCACCTATATCCCTGTGGTCCCGAAAGGCCTGCTGGGGGCGGGGGTGGGGGGGGTCTCAGTACGCTCACTTGCTGAGCTCTCTCCCAATTTGAGAACAGCTTTTTTCAGGGTGGAGAGGTGCTAGGCTGCTGTTTGTCCAAAAATCTCTGTCTTCTTGCAGACAGCCTCTGTCAGCTTCACAGGAAGCATTCAGCTGTTAACGGCACAGGAACACTCTGCTCTAGGGCAGCTGGCTCCCGTGTTGCCAGGAGGGCGGGTGATTGGGAAGAATGCTTGCCTATGTAGGAGACAGCTTCCGTGGTAGGGTACTAGCTGCTAACCTCTGTGCACTGTCAGGTGTGACCTGCTTGGCTGACTTTAGGTGCTGTCCCAGGCCTTCATTCTGGGCACCCTCTGCTCTGACACATTTTCACCTTCGCTTCTTGTGAGGGATGGGTGATACAGCGCAATCGGGCAAGCAGGTACATGGCAGGCCTTGCCTCTCCATGTTTTTTTTCTGTCCTTCCTTTGCTGCTCCCTTTTAACCAGCATCCTCTGGTCTGCATTCCATGCAGGATTAAAGTGCACGCTGCAAAGGAGATCAAGCCACCCTCTGCTCTGCAAGTCCCTAGCAATGGAGCAGATGAAGGGGTCAGCCATGCTTCTGCTGGAGCTGCTAATTCTTGGGGGCCTGAGAGCAGGGAAGGGCTCTGCTGTCCTGGGCACCCTGGATCTACAAATAGATGAGGAGCAGCCAGCTGGCACCATCATTGGGGACATCAGTGCTGGCCTGCCCCCTGGAACTAGTGCCTACATGTATTTCATCTCAGCACAGGAGGGCAGCGGTGTTACCACTGACTTGGGGATTGATGAGAACACTGGCATCATCAAAACAGCTCGTGTCCTGGACCGAGAGACTCGGGACCACTACAGCTTCATTGCTGTTACCCCGGAGGGCATCACAGTAGAAGTGAACATCCAAGTGAATGACATCAATGACCATGCTCCAGCCTTTCCCAAACAACACAGCACCTTCCAGATCCCAGAGCACACGCCCATTGGCAGCAGATTTCCCTTGGACCCAGCCTTTGATGCTGACAGTGGCCTACTGAATACGCAAGGCTACGTGATTAAGGGAGAGAATGTGGGGCAGGCTTTCCGCCTGGAGACACGTCGAGGACCCAATGGGGTCCTGTATTTGGACCTGGTGGTCAGCAACGTCTTGGATCGGGAGAACCGCTCATCGTACTCGCTGCTGTTGGAAGCCTATGATGGTGGCTCTCCTCCCCGGAGTACCCAGATGACACTGGATGTGTCCATCCAGGACATCAATGACAATGCTCCTACCTTCAACCAGAGCCGCTACCATACTCTCATCTCAGAGAATTTGAAACCTGGCAGCAGCATCCTGCAGGTCTTTGCCTCTGACGCAGATGAAGGTGACAATGGGGATGTGATTTATGAGATCAACCGGCGGCAGAGCGATCCTGACCAGTACTTCACCATTGACCCCCGGACTGGAGTCATCAAGCTCAACAAGGGTCTGGACTATGAAGTAAGGAAGGTGCATGAGCTGGTGGTGCAGGCAAGGGATAAGGCTGTCCATCCTGAGGTCACCACAGCGTTTGTCACTATTCATGTGCGTGACTACAATGACAACCAGCCCACCATGACTATCATCTTCCTGAGCGAAGATGGCTCCCCTCAGATCTCTGAGGGAGCCCAGCCCGGCCAGTATGTGGCACGCATCTCTGTTTCTGACCCAGACTATGGCGAGTACTCCAATGTCAATGTCACACTGGAGGGAGGGGATGGCAAATTTGCCCTCACTACCAAGGACAACATCATCTACCTGATCTGTGTGGACCAGCTTCTGGATCGGGAAGAAAGAGACTCCTATGATTTGCGGGTGACAGCTACTGACTCAGGAACACCCCCACTCCGGGCAGAATCAGCCTTTGTGCTGCAAGTGATGGATATCAATGACAACCCTCCACTCTTCGACCAGCAGGAGTACAAACAAAGCATCCCCGAGGTTGTGTACCCGGGCAGCTTTGTCCTGCAGGTGACAGCTCGTGACAAGGACCAGGGTCCCAATGGGGAGGTGCGGTACAGTATCGTGCATGGACATGACACCCACTCCAGCTGGTTTGCCATTGACCCTGCCACAGGTATCATTACCACCGCTGCCCCACTGGATTATGAGAAGGATCCTCAGCCTCAGCTGACTGTGCTGGCCACAGACAGGGGAACCCCTGCCCTCTCTTCTTCAGCTGTGGTGCATGTGGCCCTGCAGGATGTCAATGACAATGAGCCAGTGTTCAGGAGTAATTTCTACAATGTGTCCCTGAAGGAGAACACCCCTGTTGGGACCTGCTTCTTACAGGTAGGTAAAATTGTCAGGAGCTGAGCTTGAGGAGGGCACGGCCAGGGCTGTGCAAGGCTTGGGACGGGAGACAGAATTACAGAATCACAGAATGGTTGGGGTTGGAAGGGACCTCTGGAGATTATCTAGTCCAACCCCCCTGCTAAAGCAGGTTCACCTAGAGCAGGTTGCACAAGATCGGGTGGGTTTTGAATATCTCCAGAGAAGGAGACTCCACAACCCCTCTGGGCAGCCTGTTCCAGTGCTCTGTCACCCTCAAAGTAAAGAAGTTTTTCCTCATATTCAGCTGGAACTCCCTGTGTTTCAGTTTGTGCTCGTTGCCCCTTATCCTTTTCGCTGGGCACCACTGAAAAGAGTCTGGCCCCCTCCTCCTGACACCCGCCCTTAAGATATTTGTAAGCGTTGATAAGATCCCCTCCCAATCTCCTCTTCTCCAGGCTAAACAGACCCAGCTCTCTCAGCCTTTCCTCATAAGAGAGATGCTCCTGTCCCCTAATCATCTTTGTAGCCCTCCACTGAACTCTCCGGTAGTTCCTTGTCTTTCTTGAACTGGGGAGCCCAGAACTGGACACAGTACTCCAGATGTGGCCAGAGACCTGCCACCGACGGCTGTTTGGTGCAGTTGTCATGGCTTAGATGGGCAACAGTTGCGGCAGGGATGCTGGAACAGAGATCCCTGTGCTCAGTGTGAGTCAGAAATGGGGCAGAGCGCTGTTACACCCTTTCTGCACATGAGTACTGGGTGATATCACTGATCCTGTGGGCACGCCTCGAGGATGTCCTTTGTGCAAAGCATGGTGCGGACCTCAGCTAGGACTGGGGCCCACTGTGCCAGGCCTTGCTTGCGCAAGTGTGGAGCTGCCTTGCAGGCCAGGATGCTCAATATGTTGCTCAGGAACATGGGTAAGACCTCCAGGAAGCTGCTTGTAGCCAAGCTGCTAACTTCTCTCTCCCCCTGTGAGGTCATTAGCCTAAATTCATCAGTGTTTGTAAGGCTGGTTGAGGACATTAGCATTAATTGTGCACAACTGGTATTGTTATATTACCTTGGAAACAGCACCTGTGGGATTTGAGCTGAGAGACACATGCTGCATCAGCCTTCATGTAGCGAGAGGTCACAGGTGAGGCGTGGAGAGGTGCTGCCCCTCGGGCTCATTCTGCGGACCCCGAGATGTGCCAGTGATGCCATTTGTATTTTGTATGTTTTGTGTTCCCTGCATTTGCTGTTTCAATGAGAGCTCAGGCCCTGGAGCCCTGGTTGCTGGAGACAGGCGATGCAGCCCATCTGAGCCAGGATGGGGAGACATGGGGCTTGGGGCTGACAGCAGGGAACTGGTTTGGTAATGCAGCAAGGCACTGCCAACCAAGGCAGCGTCCAGACTGTCCATCAGGACAAGCACCGGTGAAGTTTGGGGCACTTCTTTGCTGGAGTCGGGGGGCTCTGGGATGTCTGGCTGGGGCCATGAGGGGCTCTGGGGCCAGGTGTGAGCAGTGCCCATGGGGCCAGGAGGAGGGGGTGAGGGAGAACAGAAATTCTGGGGCCCATGAGACAAGGCAGGAGGAGGTCCTGCGACCTGGCCAGGGTAAAGGGCCTCCAGATGGGTCTGGAGGAGGAAGCGGAGCTGGCAAGAAAAGCTGGTCTGTGGGCGTGCTGTGGGTACACTGCTGGGGCATGGGGGGTATACGCGCGTGGGCCATGTAGGGTGTGTGATTGCAGGGGACTGACGGTACAGGATGGGAGCGCTGGAGAGGGGCTTGTAGGGTGGGTGGGTGCAGGGGACGGGGGGTAGGAGTGTGGGGGAGAGTGTGGGGGGAAGGAGGAATTGTGGGGGAGCAAGGGCGAGGTGAATGGAGAAGGGACATGGGGCAGGAGCAAGTTTAGGATGGGGCAGATCTGGGGGCGTAGGGGATGGGTCAGGGTGGGATTGGGGGGGGAAGTCTGGGCAGAAGAAGTGGGTGGGAGATGAGGGGGAAGATTTGGGTGGGGGAAGGTTTGGGTTTGGTCTGTGCAGGGCAACACTCCACACTGTCCCAGGTGGGGGGGACGGGGACAGGGACAGGACCAGGGCTGGGGACAGAGATGGGGAAGGGGTCAAGGGTGGGTGTGGGTTCAGGGACAGGGACAGGGCCGGAGTGGAAGAGCCATGTGTCCCTGGGTGAGCACGGAGGCCCCAGGCGTGTGCAGGGATGTCTTGGCTGCAGCAGCCCCTGAAGGGAGGCCCCCCTCTCTCTCCTTCTCCGTGCCTTCCTGCTCAGTGCCGCTTGCCGTGTGGGAAGGCGTTCTGGAAATGCAATTGGAGATGGCGGCTGGGCTCTTGACTGCGAGTGCCGGGACAGGCAGGAGGGAGAGCAGGACCTGTGGAGGAGCTGGGGCGGTGCGGGGCTATGGGGATGGCACAGAGAAGCTGGTCCAGCACGTGGCTGCCTGGCCATGGTGAGGCCAGTGTAGCGCAGGGGCCAGCCCAGCTCCACACTGCGCAGGGCAAGGTGCTGGCCCGGCGGCCGGCAGCGACTGAGGGTTTGGCCAGATTTCGATGGTCTTGGCTCAGCCCTCATGTTTCATTTGGAAACGGCGCGTCTGGGCTGAGCGCAGGTAACTCCCGCGTGGCCTCGGCACAAAGCAAACAGCTCACACATCTGCTGCTGCTTCCTCTGAGCCGGGAAACGTGAGAGGATGGGAAAGGAGGCTGGCCAGGCTGCTGGCTCGGCACTGGGCCGCAGCAGGAGTGAACCGGGTCGGGGAGCCGGGCAGAGCTGGGGCAGGGAGCTCAGGTCTCAGAGCACAGCTGCCCGGTGTGGCCACCCCTCAGCCATGGCATCCCTGTTGCCCTGAACAGGGAGGCTTCAGAGGTACTGTCAGGGCCCACGGTGGCCAGCAGCCAGCACCGTGTCCCACAGGGTCGCCCATGTCAGGTGTGCTGCCCCACAGCCCCTGTGTGCAATTGCTCCCACTTGACTCCATCTGTCCGTGGCTTCTAGGTGTCAGGGCTCATCCTGCCTTGGGAGGTTAAAGGGTCTCTGTCAAGGTCTGGATTTGGTCCAGCCCTGCATAATGGTTAAGAGAGCTTAGGCCGTGGGCACGCCCTGCCAGCGTGGTGTGCAGGACACAGGACAGCTTCCAAGGTCAGCACAGAACTGAACGGGTTCGATTCTCCATCGCGCTGCCATGTTTCTAAGCAAAAAACCCTGGGAGGACCAGGTCTATTTTCAGATGGTGACATCGGCTCTCCATGGGCAGGACAGAACGATGGGGAACTGGGGAGTCCATGTGAGTGGCCAGAAGAGACTTCAAGAATGGCTGCAGGTCTGCTCCCTTGCACACCCCATCCTCCCTGCGCGGTCGGTCTTTGGGTTTGGTGTACGAACAGAGACGAGCAGAGCAGGTTGCTGCCCTGAGTACCTGAGAAAGAAAAAGGATCTCATAACATCTTCTTTACTTATTACTCGTGTTTCTCATGGGCCAGGTCCCACAGTAGCAGACTCTGCACGGGCACTAAGCAAAGGAAATAGAAAACTCACAGTTCAAGTCTGAGATGAGAGAGAAACACCAGTGGAGAAGGAGCCCAGGGGATCAGTGAACATGACACCAGCAGAAAATAGACCAAGGGATGGTCACTGACTGGTCGTCCCTGTTTCTCTCTGTGGCCATGAGTTGATAACATAGAAGCTTTAGGGCTCATCGGACTACGTTCAAATGCTAGGGTTACATGATGTGAAGCACTGTTCTGGTATAAATTCACCCTGCTGGCTTAAATTTGTTTTAAACATTTGACTTTGTACCAGCAAGCTGCATGCATGGTCAGATATTGTCTTTCTGAGCCTTTCTAACTTTTCATGCTAAATCAAGTATTGTCTGTCCTCTGGCAGCCAGCATGAAGCACAGAGAGCTGTGTGAACCCCATGTTGTGAGCACAGGCTGATCTGACAGAAATGTGAATGAGATGGTGGATTATTGATTCTTGCATAGATCCAATATTAATGATTTTGGAATCAGGGTTTACATAGTTCCTTTGCATTCATACACACAATTGTTGGGGAACAAGAACATCAGAAATCAAAAGCTGACCAGCAACACACCTAATGTATAGTCTTATCTTGCAGTTTTGAGGACAAGTCTGATGAGTTTTGAAGTTTTGAGTACTGATTTGTGATGCTATGGGTCTGGCTATGCTGCATGCACAGCACCAGGACGGCCTCTTGGGCTGTGCCCCAAATAGGAAGACCTGCATGAAGTGCTGTAGGCTAGACCAGGCCACATTTACTGTATTACTGAAAGAGAGTCTTGACAGATAATCCTGATGCATCGCTTATGCTACTGAAGGGGGCAGCTGTGAGAGGACACGGGGAGTAGCCGTGCATGGGGACTGGAACAGCAAGAGGACTAATGCTTACCGACTTTGCTGCCAAAGCGAGTGGCGGGAGGTGGGGGGGGACATTACTACATGCATTTGTTTTCTTGGGACAAGGGATTTAGCATTAACCTATTTTCAGACCTTTGCACAACATAAAACAGGCCTTCCCCTCCACAGAAAGAAGAAGGCAAGCTTCCTGAGGCAAGATGGGGAGATGCCTGTGAGCTTGCTGGGGAGCAGTGTGAGGGGAGGGAGTGCATCATGCTTCTGGGAGAGCAGGCTGTCCTGTGGGAGAGTCTGGGGGTACGCAAGGAGTGGGGACATGGGGGAGATGCTGGTACATGGGGAGGTTGTGGGGGAGGTGAGTGCTGTTGTTACCGCCAGAAGAGCTGCATTTGTTCCAAATTCCTGTGAAAGTTATTTCCTTGCGCTGCCAGCAGCCTCCTCCTGGGCTTGGCACAGCAGCCAGCGCCATGATTAATTCAAGTAGCATTTCCCCTGGAGCTGCAGCAGCTTTTCCACTGCAGCCGAGAGGCCCCAGCCCCTCACGCTCCTCTCCCCCCATGCTCCGCTCCTCCCCCAGCCCCTCGCACAGCTCCCTCCTTCCTCCACGAGATCCCCAGCCCCCTCACAGCTGCCCCTTTTCCC